GAGGACTGCTGGCGACCGACTTGTACTCTTTGGGACCGTCCTGTCAAAAAATTTTGAATCCATAGGATGAGGGGCCCGCGAACGCCTGCGCGGCGCAGTTTATACAGGATCCGTTAGTGAGGGACGGTGTCAAACGCCTTTTTGAAGTCAATGTAGATGACATTGTTAATATACCTGATCACAACTGATCAGACAACGCGCCCGTGACTCAGTGATTAGGGCGTTGGGCATCTAATCACATTGATCTACGCGTTGAACCGCAACTGATCGGTGAACAATCCTGTTGATATTTGCTACAGCTGAATGGCCAAATATCGCGAGATTGATGCCCAACGTTATCCAGATCTCCATTGCTATCTGCCCTTTGTTTGTTTAAATACAACACAAGGGCGTAAAAACGGGCACGCACACTTTGAAACACTGGAAGTTAAGAGTAGTTAGCAGGTTGAAAACTGAGAGCCGAGTTCATCGGGCGGATATTCTAGAAGAGATGATCCCAATGGGTAAACTGGGAGCCTAAGCCTAACCCCCTAATTGTAATACAAACGCTTACCTTAATCGTAGCACTTGAGGGAGTCGTGATGAAAGGGCTATAAAAATTAAGCCTACTCAAATTACATAAGTAAATATTTTATAGAAGTAAAGAATTACTCGGATGGCAATTCCGTTCGTCACCGAAACTACTCACACTCACCCACTCGTTTAACTATATTCACAATTCACCGATCCCTTTCTTGTTTCCATTGCCTGATCATTCAGTCCCTGTCTATACATGGTAACATAATATACTGAGTTTTCTCAATGGTCCTTAAGGCCGCGATCATGATCATGGTCATTATTAATACATGCTTTTTCAAAACTTCTCTTTGTTTATTTTTTACTAAATGTGTCCCTCCCGAATCGCGAAAAGGTACGAGCTAAGTGCCCCACCTTCGCTGTGTCCTACAGGCGTGTCTACACGAACCATTTTTGCACCGTTCATGGCAACATTCAGGCCTTCGTCTGAATCGCTATTATCTGATGAACTCATTCATCTATCAGTTGAATGCGACTGCCTTAAAAAAGGTTAGTTTAGGTGATGGTTACGGTTTTTTTTCTACTCCATGTGAACATATTTACAGTACAACTTGATCTCACGAGCTCGGTAATTTAATTATAGGTTCTACCGAGGCTTGTCCCCGACGATATGGACCGCAGGTTTGTCTTCAACGTGATGCTTTTCTTATTTATTTTTAACATTTGTAAACCCAACTAAAAGAAATGTGGTCAAGAGCCTACCAAACCCTTTGTTCCGCAAAATTTGACATATATCTTAAGATCTTATAACTTAAACAGTGGGACTGTTTTATGTAAACCTTTTAAGAAAATTGTTTATGCTATCAGAAGAAGGAATGCGAAGTTCTCAACCCCCAAACTTCGCGATTTCTGTCTCAGAAACATAGGAATAACAATTGGAAATGTTAAATGTAGTCAATCAGAGCTAATTCATGTATCTGTGTTCCTAATAACAGTAATCGATAGCACAATAGTACTGTGTACATGACCGGGTCCCAACACAGAAGCATCCAGGTTTCACACGCAAGAGGTTAGGTCGCTCGTATCACTCTGAGAGTATCACCAGTCAAGTCAACAAGGAGCCCTTACAACCTGCCTCTCCCCTGGGGCCAATAGCCACGCAGACACAGAAGATGGTTTAGAGGTGCATGGTCAGAATTTAATGTTTCTTCTGTTAAGCGCATCGGACTGTTTATGGTGAGTAAAATGCACTGAGCCGTCGGCCTCACCCTTCGTCGTCCAATCTGGTGGTATTTAAAAGTGAACTGCATAAATAGGCAATACTTTCGTCGATGCGGATTGACTTCCATTCACACTGACCCTGGGCGCAGTGTGTTCGTCCGCTGTTGGAGCTTGGTGCACGGCCACTGTTTTGCCTATGTTGCTGGCGAGCCGGAATATTGCCTATCTCAGTATAGTAGAAGTAAGGGACTAGATTATGCTCTGCACACTTGGACGGACCGTTTTTATTTTGTTACCTTCTGCACTCACACCTCTATCCCACCGTCTAGATTTTGACAAAAGCTATAAGAAGCGCGAGTAAGGTGGGTGCCATGCAAGTTACTTCCACTACAATCGTATCCATCCACAAGTTATTGGTGATAGGTCCACTCAAGGCAGTGATTGATGTCTTCGTTTTTTTTAAATGTACAAAAAGTGTCCTCTGTGTTCGCACACCCTTCGTTGTCCAGTCCCATTCACAATCCATGTTCGCTCGGGTTTCCAAAACTTTATTAAATGCACACTTTCAGCGTCAAAGTCATGTTAAGTTATATATCTGTTTTTTTCCAACCATTTTTTATATATGCTTGTTTCCAACACACTTCCAGAGACCAAACCATGACGATCTGCTCTGGTCTGCCCCATCGGAGCCGGCTACTTCGTCATTTTTGGTACTTCACAAATCCCTTTGCTGGTTCCAGCACAAACTACGGTAATCTTTTCACAGTTTATAATTTTTCTCATTATTTGAGTCTTTCACTCTCATACTTTAATATTTGATCTTCCAGAGGTCGAATGAGGTACAAGGGGAATCGAATATCAATCCATTATTTTAAATTTATTTAAGTTATTTTGGTAGAGTAATAAGCAATGCCTTTCAAAACGCGATTCTTTGCATACTGCTGCGTCATATACATTAGTACACGCACTCCAAAAGGGTTGCGAATAATATGAAGTTATTACTTACAAAATGTAAGTAGCATTTATTTTACAAACAACTCCGGTCTGGAGTTTTTGTTGAAGCTTCACGTGTTTACTTCTGCACATTCAAGAGCACATGACCGGTTCGGGAAACTAGAGACGTCCAGAGATAGCACACTTTAGTCCGATCTCACACGCCCCTATTGCATTCTAGACAAAACAACCATCCTAACAATCTGAACTATAGTTAGAGATATAATACTAAAACTATGAGCGATGAACCGTTAAGAAAATGTGAGAGCATTTGGTGATTACCAACGCGTCCTCATTAAAATTCGTAGCGTGGCTTCAAAACGTCAGGTAGAAAAGCAGCACTCTTAAGACCTCCTCTTCCAAAGCTCTGTCGAAAGTTTTCGGTTGATTTCTACGGACAATATCTAGCTTCTTGATGTAATGGCAGCCGATCTCTAAAAGCATAATTTGTTTCCGACGGAAGAGATGGATTTTACTCGAATGCATTTTCGACCATTTAATTTACGATTTTGAACTCCAACTGCTTCCGAATTCAACAGCAAAATAAGTTTTCTTCGGTAGCGCTCAGGTAATGTTTTAGCTGATACTCTTTCGGTAGCAGTTGTTCTTTTTCTCATAACTGGTCCGTTGCCTTTGCTCGATCCCGTTCCATCTCCATTCCCAGGTTCCTTTTCATCTTTAACTTCACTGGGGGTTTCCTCGCTGCATTCATGGTACCAACATCGGTTTTTGCAGCAGAACGTTCTGGCGTGAGAAGAACCTCCTCTCCGTTGGGTAATTTAGGCCCTGGGTGCGTCTGCGAGGTCTCCGATTTACAGGCCCTCCCACAAGCAGGCGATGATGGGTGAGCCATTTCATTGCTTTTAGAACAATAAACCATGTCCACTTGTTCATTTTTAGTAGACAATATATTACACTATTTTAGGCTTGCTGCGACGATCTTAGAACACGTCACCTCTGTGCGGGAGGTTGTCGGTCCGGTGAGTGTTATTGATTTCTTTTGTTAACTTGTAATGTAAGTTCTTTCAATTACCGTTTCTTTGCAAATTTTAATGCCCCATAATATTACATTTGCAAACTGGTATTAAGAAAACTGCTGGTTCTTAGGTAATGCAGTACTTGAAATATTTTAAAACAATTATTAGGATCCTGGTAATAGCAACAGTGGCTCGAAAAAACGAGCTCCAAGCGAGCTCGCGTTTTCGCGCTTTAAGCTCAAAAAATCGAATTTAATTTTTCATCCGGACAGGGGTTACCTCCTTTCCTGCGAACCCCCCCCATTTTTTTCGAACCGCAGTGAGATATTACTTTTTTGAAAACTGTTTAGTAATGTGTATGTTAATATAAAAAGCCGTCTTAAAAATATTATGGTACAAAAAATAAAAAAATAGTTTCATTTGGCCGCTTTTTCAGAATTCCTGGCTACCCGAACGCAGCACTGTGGAGTTCATGGACGGTGCTGGTAGCCCGTACGGCCCTGGCGCATCATCGTCCTCATCATTGCGTCGTATGTCTGAAAGGAGGAAATTAGTAAATTTAGACGTATATAGGGAAACGTAACATAACAGCGAGTGACAAGGTTAAGTGTATAAGTTGACTCACTAATACGGCTTGTTGATTGTGAACTCCGCCCACTATGCCGCTGATGCCAATCGTGGGCACGTTTGGAAACATGTCACCATCCCCAAATTGCAGGCTAGAAGGGGTGACCTGCCAATACGATGACAGTCGTCCCTTTTACTGCGAAAATCATCAGCACTCCTTCTACGCTGGGTAATCTCCCTATGAACAACCTTAGTGTCATGCTCACCTTCGACGAAACACCACTCACAACCGTAGTACGCATTCACGTTCTTAATTTGTTTGATAAAAGCCCTAGAAGGAGCATCGCAAACGACAGCC